GAAGAATTGTAGGTGTGGCCATCAGTCTGTATTGGAAGGTCTGCTGCAGGAATTAGGGCTTCAGTTAGACAACTGCACTGCGCACTTTGAGTTTTCCACTACCTCTGCCTGCCTCGTAGGCTCTTCACGTATCCGTTACGTGTCTCCATAAACTTCCCTTCTTCCCCTCACCTCCAGCCCAGGCCTGACTTCCCCTCTCTTTCCCCTTCATTTTTATGCTATGCCGTCACTTACTACCTCTGTGACTCTGGACAAGGGACTAAACCTCTCTCTGCCTCAATGATTCTCATCTGTAAAATGGGGATAGTCATGGGAGCTCTTCCTTACCTGAAGACCCCAGAACCATTGTTACCTGAAGTATTGCTACGTCTTATTTTCACACTTGCTGAAGTTTTTCTCCTGTTTCCTTGTGTGTGTGTGTGTGTGTGTGTGTGTGTGTGTGTGTATGTGTGCGTACCAGAGTTCAACCTCAGGTGTTCTTTCTCAGGAGTGGTTCACCTTTTTTTTTTTTTTAATGTGCAGTGATGGTGCACATTTTTAAATACAGCACAGACAAAAATTTATCTTATGAGCTGGGCGGTGGTGGCTCGTGCCTTTAATCCCAGCACTCAGGAGGCAGACAGGATCTCTGTGAGTTCGAGGCCAAGATGGTGTACTGAGTGAGTTCCAGGACAGCCTCCAAAGCTACAGAGAAACTCTGTCTCAAAAAACCACACACACACACACACACACACACACACACACCCACACACACACACAGACACACACACACACACAGACACACACAGACACACACACACACACACACACACACACACACACCCACACACACACACAGACACACACACACACACAGACACACACAGACACACACACACACACACACACACACACACACACCCACACACACACACAGACACACACACACAGACACCCACACAGACACACACACACACAGACACAGACACACACACACAGACACACACACAGACACACACACACACCTTATGTGTATGGGTGTAATGTCTGTGCACCACTTGTGTATCTGGTGCCTGTAGAGGTTAGGAGAGGGCACAGATCTCCTGGAACTGGAGTTACACAGAGTTGCGAGCTGCCATGTAGGTGCTGGGAATTGAACCTGGGTCCTTTGGAAGAGAAGCCAGTGCTCTTAATCACGGAGCCATCTCTCCAGCAAAGGTTTGCCTTCTTTATGAGACAGATTCGCTCACTGAGGCCTAGGGCTGGCAGGTTAGGCTACACTGGGAGGCCAAAAAGCCCAAGGGATCTGCCTGTCTTAGCCTCCACAGAGCTTGGGTGACAGGAACTAACCACCACCCCTGTGCTGCACAGCAAGGGCTTCTCAGCCTGAGTGATCTCCCCTGTCCTCCTTTCTGCTTCTGTCTCCTCTACCCTTGCTCTAGCTAGAAGAAGGGGTGGGGATGGAGGGTGTGGCCAGGTGGAGTCTGGAGAGGGGAGATTAGGAGCATTTCCTGGGGCTCCTCTTGGTTCTGAGTTGGACCATCTTTTCACCAAAGAGGAGATAGATCTGCAGTGGCGACTTGGTTTTTGGGGTGTGCCTCGTAAGATTTTATGGGGCTTGGGAAAGGATTTCCACATGGGGGGGGCGTCCCTAATGGAAAGTGCTTGAGACATATGGGCTGCAATAAGATCGTGAGGGAAGGCTTTGCTGAGTTTGGGGGACCTGTGTGTATCTCAGGAAGAGATGCAACATGGCCTGAGATACCCAGTGGGCTCTGAGGTGGGAGCTGGACGCTAAGGGTAGAGACAAGGAAGAAGTAAGGTGTTCTGGGATCCATGGGAGTCACAGAGGCAGCAGGGTTGATTGCTGGGCGTGGGTGGGAAAGAACCTACAGCAAATGGGGGGAGGTTAACCAAGGGGTGCCCTGAAAGGAACAGAGTAAAAGTTCCAAGGTCCCCAAAGACTCTGGACGATGACCTCAGGTGTAGTTGGGGTCTTCTATGGGCAGAAGAGATGTTTGGGGTCCCTTAGACATTAGCCTTGATCTAGGATTCCTCCTGGTGGGAAGGGATAATGAAGGTCCTCGAAGGAGGAAGGACATTGTTGGGGCTGGGCCCCGTGTTTAACTCTGGAGAGGGATGAAACACAGTCTGGTTTCCCAGGGTTCGCTGATGGATCAAGCTATGGTGGCTCTTTTCTGAACTTTGATACACAGTCTGAGTACTCCATGGATTCCGGGGTGTGGCTTGGGGGCCATCTGAGTGTTGGGTATGGGCGTGGGGTGGGGGGTCTGGATCCCCTGGGATGCTGTGATATGATCTGAGGTCCCTCTGGAATGAGAGGTATACGGTCTAGCTTTCCTTGACAGGGTGTGCCCTCCCCCCCCAACCCCCACCCCATCTGAGGTCACGACACAGAGTAGAACAGTCTCTGCTCCCAGGTGGCTCACCAACATGGTCTGGGGTTTCAAAGGAGGTAAGACAGGCACTCTGAAGATGTGATGGAGAGAGCTGGGGTGTG